AATGACTAATGACTAATGACTAATGACTAATGACTAATGACTAATGACTAATGACTAATGACCAATAATAAATACTAAAATAATTGTGTTCATGAAATGATCATGATCATCAGGCTTATAATAAAAATTTATATGATATCCCTTTTTCCAGTACAAATCTGAACCTAACGATTCCTTATAATTGTGAATATTTCGAATTTCTAATAACGTCTCCATAGAAGAGCTAGTTTGTGCGCATGCATTGAGTATGCAGACGACTGTAGAACGCTCGCACCTAGTTGGACATTCAGAGTCTGATTATGGATGCTGCGACAAATCGAACACCAGCCTATATGGGCATGCCTGGCCATTGAGAACCAACTAAAGAGCTGGCACGCGTCTGCAGAGCAGAATGTGTGCTGGTTCCTGGAACCAGATCAAAAGAACGCAAAGCATTTGAATATGCGAGACGAGCAGGAATGCTAATGAACTCATTAGTGAAACAAAGTGGGCAGCGAGTGCAGTGAGGATCTGGTACTGGAACTAGAACTGGTTCGAGTGCCCCTGGGGCATTGGTCGTATATGGAAGCGCCATAGAGCAAACACTTTTACTCATAAATTGTCATAATTAATAATAAAATTATGGACAGTTGGGAACTACCATAAGGAGCACTGCGCTGGATCGCGACGGAACCAACTTTGGAGCCCGGTTCTAATGAGCGTCAAGAGCGCGTGCCGCGGCACATGTGCCAAATGCGGCACCTCGCGTAGGCCACGAGCTACAATTACCAGAGTTTTCCATAGTCGGTGCTCGGTGGCTCGTTTTGGAGTGGCAGCTGCCCCACCAAATAGGTGTTGAGCCACCAGCACCACCATCACCATTAAAGCACCATCCCATCCCAGTGGCCATGCCCACCATAAATAACTGTCAATAAATGTCAACGTTTTTGGGGCGCATTAACATAGAAGCTAAGCCGATTCCGCTGACAGCTGCTGACGCATGCCCCAAGATGTGGCAGCATCTGCAGCTGTATCTGCAGCTGTATCTGTATCTGTACCTGTGTCTGTGTCTGTATCTCAGTCTCTATCTTAAGCTGTATCTGGCCATCCATCGCTGTCAGCGTCTGTCGTGGCGCAATTGATTTAATCGCCTTTTAATCGCCCACGCCTCACCTGCCCGGGCCGAGCTGCCCAATTACCTGGCCGACTCGTTAGTTACCTGCGGAAGTCACGTGCGGAAGCTTTGCTTTATTTTCGAGTACCTTCCCGACTTTCCCGGCCCTATAGCGGGTACTCACATGCAAGTTCTATATTAAAGCTAATTTGGCTTCCGTTTAACATTTACACACTTTGATTTTCCGTTGCAATTAACCCAAATTTTGATTTTTTACAATATTTTAAGGTTTATTATATGAAGTGCCGCCGAAATTATGATGATTCTCGGGTATTACTACTCAAACTAGGTTAAACTGTTGGAGTACATATACGAATTTGAGATCTTTTCTTATATATAGTCTAAGCTGAGAGGCTTTCTAATAGTCTACAGACTTAAATTAAGAGTACAGCTCTTATTAGACATACAAATTCTCGAAATACTTTAAGCAAAGAGAGAGCTTTATGCTTAGGAATAAGCGTCCTTTCCTTATACATTCAGTGTACTGCAGCTCAAGGCTTGATCAGTGACACGCAAAATGCGCCAATAGAAACACAAAACGAGCTCAATTTACAGTTAGCGACAAAAAAAGAGAGACGAAGACAAACACTAGGCAAACACAAAAACAAATACAAATACAAATGCAATCGCAATTGCAATTGCAGTTGTAATTGTAATGTGTGATATTTCAATTAAAAACTAACGGCACAAGTCATTAAATGACATATACAACATCTACACAACTCAGTCTCTGTGTGTGTGTGTGAGTGCTCAACATATTCAAAGTTGAGCGCAATCAAATGCGCTGATTCCAATTGCAAGTTCTGCGCGCACAAAAAGCCGTTTACGTCCGCCGTAAAAAACACAAACAAAACGTTTTTGTTTAATTAAATTAACAAAATACGCGACCGATAGCCAAACAAAAACTCGCATATTTTGCACGCCAGCAACAGCAACAGCAGCGACAACAGCAACAGCAACAGCAACAACACGTGTTTGCTGCTTCGTCAACTAACCTACTCAAAGAGCGAGAGAGCGCCCTTGCTGCGCGCTCTCTTAAAGTGAACGCGTTGCTGCTTGCACTGCTTGTCCACAGGCCTGACCTGCGCTCTCTCGCTTGCACAGCCCCAACTTGGTTGCCTGTTCAAGTCCATTTGTCTTGTGGCTCGCTCGCACCTGAGCGCTGGTCCGTGAGTGGCGTTGCCATCTCGCTCGCCGACTGGTTTCAACCCGTTTCAGCCAATCGGCAAAAAGCGACTCGCCATGTGCGCACCGCACACAAAAAAGGCGGAGCACAAGTGCAGTCCCTTGCTCCCTCGCACGCCCGCTGTGGCTCGTAGGTGCCCGGGCCCTATGACGCAGCGCGGCAATGGCGGAGGAGCAGCGCTGCCAGCCTGTCTGTCAACCGATTTGGCGTCCATGACCAACCATGACGACTTCAGCTCCAACTCCAACTCCGACTCCGACTCCGATTCCAGCGTCGACTACAAATGCTGCGGCTTTACATTTTGACATTTCGCACGCACAGCTGTTCCTGCTGCTCCCGTTTGCAGCCTTCTCGAGTCCTGCTGCGGTTTTGCAATATGTGAAATGCATTTTCGAAGATTTCCCACTGCGGTTTCCACTGCTAATTGCACGTTTTCTCCAGCAACTAAACTAAGCAAAGTAAAAACTTTTATTGCTGCCGGCTATTGCGTTTTTTGTTAAGTTTGTTAAACTGTTCGAAATCAATTTAATTGCTCTGTAAATTTCAAGATGCTAATTCGAATCGTCTCGATGATGGCTAAAGAATTTTGTTAAATCTAAAATGTGAGAGTTTACAAACTTTATGAATATTCAAAACAAACTAACTTGGTTTATTTATCTTTAATTTAAATTTCATAAATTATAAAAAGCTATAAATGGAATTTGGTCATAGTTTGGACTTATTTCTGATAATTATTTGAAGAAAACTTTTCGATACTTTTTAAAGTTATATGATTCAAGTTATTTTATACAATTGTGTTAAAATCGAAATTAAAAGAAGATATTTTTGTGATGAATAATTTCAATTCTATTTCATTTTATTTTACTCTTTTTTAAAACTACAGATTTTTGTGAATGGTATATATATTTTTTTCAATATATTTTGTTAGCTATAATCTAACAATCATGCATATTAATATTATTTATAAATTTTTATATATTTGTATATTTATAAATATTTTCGTTTAATAATATGATTCTTGTGTGATTTATATTAATTAGAGAGATCGATAGCAAGAAATAAAAGAAAATACAAAAAAGGAAATTTAAAAAAAAATAATACAATAACAATAAATTAATAAAATAAAATAATTTAATAAATAAATAAATCAAAAACAGTTTAAGCTAACTATTTTTAATATTCAGTATTTAAGAATTTGAAATATTTAATAATTTAAATCAAAAGTATGTAAAAGTTTTTTATTTTTAAAGTTTTAGTTACACATACAAAAAAATAAAAATAAATAAAAAAAAAAATGTAACAAAAAAATATATATGTTTGAATGAATATTATAAATAAAAATATGTACCTTACAAAAATCAAATAAATGATAAAACGTTGTATTTAAAAAAAATTGTACAGAACTTTTATTTCTCTCCGAAAAGTTGGAATCTCCAGTAAAATTTTAATATATTATTTGATTTTCAGTGTCAATAAAGTGAGATGACACAACACCGTTGTAGTGCCATTAAAAACCCATTTGAGAATATCAAAACAGAATCAAATAATATGTTGCTCTATGTGGAAAGTGGTTTAAATTGCATTGATGACAGTGCAAACAGTCGCAATGACAGACGCCGTAAGCTCGCCATTAATAGAGGCCAAACAAATGGAAATTCAGCACGAACTAATGTCGAGGCTTGCCAGAGAAATAATTGACAAAAAAAAAAAAACAGTTATACTAATCGCGCTGCTGATTACGCCGTTGATTGAATGAAATAATCAAATTAGCCGATAAGCGCCGGGCAGCGCTGCCTGCCCTCAGGTGAAAATGCACTTTGCAGTTTTATTATGATTATGGTTTTGCCGTCGCGAAACGTAGCGCTAAATAAAGCAATTTCCTAGTAATGCAAAAATGGCAAACATTACAGCATTGCGAGCGTTTCGCATTCCATTTGCAGCGGCCCCCATGTACCATAATATTCCCCAAAGGTGGCAACGTTGCAGTTGCTGTTGCATTGATTAACTAACCTGCCATTGCATAATGCCATGCAGCTCGACTCTTTATTTTCATTTCATTTAGGTTTTTAATTTTATGCAGGCGCTTTTCCCCTACGGAATTGTTGCAGTTGTCAGCCGAGCCCAAAAATCCTCTTCAACAGCAGCAACAACAGCACCAACAACAGCGATGACGCGCAAAGCAGCCATAGCCAAAGAGCGAAGAGAGCAGCTGCCTGTAAAAACTGCCAATGCTGCCAGACGCTGCACGAAAAGGAAACAAAAAATGCCAATCCAAAGGCGAGCAGCCGGAGAGACAATACAAAAACGAAAACGAAAAAAAAAAATTGCTTCGTCAAGTGCTCCAATAAAAATTCCGCCGCCTTTGGCGCGCGCTGCACTGCTCGCTCCTCAGCATTGGCTGCGCTGCTGCTGTCGCCTGCTGTCTCGCTCAGTCACCTTTTTTCGCTTAAGAGAGCGTCCTCTGCGCTTTTTGCGCCGCTCGCTCTTGAGCTTTCGTTTGAGTGTTTTTATGTGCACTTGAAATGAATACGTGCGATTATTGGCCGCGTGTGAGAAAAAAAAAAAATTGAGCGGAGCTGAAAAAAAGCGCATTTATACGGTTATGTATTTGATTTTCGTTTTTGCTAACGGCTCTTGCAGACAAAAAGAGAAAAAAGATTTTAATTTGAATATTACATGTATTAAAAACTCATTATTGTTGCCCGATCCGCAAAAGTTGGTCAATGGGCTAATGTGCGTCCAAAGCGGCGGATGCTTTTCTGCCTCTTTTTTTTTTTGTCTGTGTATTTTTTACTACTATACTACGCCCACTGTTGGCAGCGAGTAACCCTGAAATGGAGAGGCTTCACTGTGGCGTGCAACACCTCTGCGATCCACGTTTTTACTGGCGATAAAGTTAGGATGGAAAGTTATTTATATTCATTTAGTTTAGCTCTATGATCTATTTGTATAGAGCTGAGCATTTGGGCTCTTAAATTTATTGCAATTATTTTTGTATCCTAGAATTTGATTGACTTCTCTCAATAAATCTAATGATAATAAATTTCGGCTTCCTGACAATTGATTTACAATGGAGTAAAAGTTGGGATATATAATGATAAATAATAAATCTTTGGTATCATAAAAATATTTTTTCTTTTAGTGTAGTAAATAAAGTAAAGACATCATATGATTTATTACCATGTAGCTTAGATTTTCTCAAGAACAATTAATAGTAATAGCCGATCGTTGTTATATAACATAATATTCTTCGTTATATAAAATAATCATTTTTATATATCATTAAATCATATTTTGGGACTTTTATTTTTATAAATGTATGTATTATGCCTATAAATGAGAATTTTGTTTTTAAATATTCGATTACTTATCGAAAAAGGAAATACCAACAATCGTATTTACACTGAATACTAAATGTACAATATATTTTGTCATATCACCTCCAATCACATACCTTAGCAATAAATAAACAATATGAATTAATGGTTCTGTAGGAATTCTTTCTGGATATGCATAACAGAATTATCTTTTTTTAGTAATCTTAAGTGAAAGAAACAAACAAGATCACGTCGTCTATTTCTCCCAGAGGCGACTCGTTAAATAGATTTCTCTAGGCTACGCCACAGCCTAATTCCGGTCAGCTCGCAGGCCATGCAGCATCCCATGACGAAGAGGACGATGGCGCGACCGATCTGTATTCCATATACTACATTACTCTGGGGGGGCAACTCTTCGAACTGGAGCGGGGTTCGAAGGCCAGGCATATTGCGTCCAAATTGAGTTCGGTTTCCTTGGCTCGATGCAGGTGGATTGCCAGGAGGAGCAGGAGGTGCATCCGACATGTTAAGCTTGTTTGGTACTAATAGAATTTCTGTTACGGATTGTCAAAAACAAATTCCTACAAAACAATTTGAAAATTTTCAAAATTCACAACAATAACAATGAGTTAAAGACACGCCTACTTAAGCCGTTAATTATTGCGGCGACTAGAGCTGGAACTTTCCATTTTACTAGCAGGATGACGCGCACGCCCACGCCCACGCCCACGTCCAATATGCAACACGCGCTCAAAGAGCAAAAATCAAATCAAAGCAGCTCAAGAGCGCAGCAAAGCAAAAACCACAAACAACTTTTTTACCGTACAGAGAGCGCATCCGAGAGAGCGCAAGTTGGAGAGACAGACCGAGTGCGAGAGAGAGAAGGAGAGTTGTGTTTGCTTTGCTTGCGCGCGCCAAAAAGAAGCAAAAAGCTGCGCATGCGTCTCTGTGCCCCCCCGCCCCGTCCCGATTCCACACACAAAAAGCTGCTACGTCAGAGCGAGAGCGCGCAGCAGCCTCACCAAGAGCGCACGTCTCTATCCATGTGTGTGTGTGTGCTGCTGTCGACGTCGTCGTCGTCGCAGTGGCTGCGATTTGGCGGCGAAGGCATTTGAATGTTTTTTTCGCTGGCTCAGCCAGCATTCGAGTTCGGAATTCTTGCGAGCTGGCAGCATAGTTTTTTGCGGGCCACAGACTATCGAGTAGCCACTGTAGCAGCCAGTGGCCAGCAGCCCAGCCCTGTGGACACTAGCAGCAGCAGCAGCAGCAGCAACAGCAGTAGCAATCGCAGCAGCATCGCAGTGGACAGTGGACAATTTCCAGGCAGGCTCGAGTGGCAAGCGAGTGCGTTTTTTGTGTGCGAGCGCGCGTTACGTCAAGAATTTTGTTGCAGTCGCCAACTGCAACGCATTTTCGTCATACCGCAGCAGCAGTTGCAGCTGGCCCTTTGCTCTGCATTCACAATTAACAAGCGCGTTAAAAAAGTGCAACAACAACAACAACAAACAAGTGCAACATATTGCTAAACAACAACAAGCAAAACAAAATTAAAAAATAAAGAAAAAAGCCAAACCAAAAAAGTGCTCTTTGTGAATGAAAATTGTGAATGAATACTGCGACGCCGTTTCAATAACACTCGGAATAATAAAAGTGCTACTCCTCGCTGTGGCTAATTGTCCAGCATCTTGTTTAAAAGTGAAAGTCTCAAGTAAATACAAAATAAAGATTAAGTAAATCTCAATGAATGCAGCAGTTGAGAGGATTAGACGACTTGGAGTTACAAAAGTTGGCCAAAGTCTAGACATTAGGAATAGAGTAAGAAGAGAGCGTCAAGAATAAAATTCAGTAACTGTTGTCTAGATTGCGTAGCTAACAATAGCTTAGACAATATTTCGATTCCTCAGTCGACAGTGTAGACAAAATTTCGAGTCTTCACAGGAATGCTTAGACTGTCTTTAGAGAAAGATATCCCTAATTAATCATTTGCTTCTTTAAAAATTCTTAGGAGATAGTAAAAAATATATACGTATAGAAATACATATAAAAATAGAAACGTTTCTATATAATATTTCTAACAAATTAAATTACTACATATTGTCTTTTCACTATCTACTATATATTGTGCTACGCTGATCTTGATTCGGTTAAACTCAATTCAGACAGAAGAAAACTTTAAGAACGTAATATTGGTCACATTTTGGATCCACTCACCTTTTCATTCATTTGCACAACTTTTTAGTATTTTCAAGATCCAATTTAAATAGAATATTAAATTATTTCCATAGTTTTGTTGATGATATATTTCGATATTGGATAATTGTATATTTAAAAACGCTCTAGAGAATCAGTTCAGTCAAAGTAGAATCATAGTATTATCTCGTTTGAACATAACTAAACTCTTAGAAATAGCTATACAACCGAATTCCCCCATTATTTATTTAACAAAAGATCCCATGATAATTTACATAATTTGCAGCCGAATCTGTGAGAAGATAAAATATATATGTTCCAAACGCTACTTTGATGTCTTAAACTAAGCATATTTAACATCACGTTAAACAACCAAAATCTTATACAGATTAAAGTTTAATAAAAGCAACTAAAGGAAAACTAAATCTACGTAAAATCCAAACGATGAGAAACAAAGAAAAAAGTTATTAAATGCAATGCCCAAAGCAAACAGTGTTTAAATAGTGAAAAGAGAAAATTAAATAAGAAATTGCATAGAAATTGTGATTTCTGAATCGAAAAATAGTGCTGCAAGTGCGAAAGATAGTGTTGAATAACGCCGCAGTCGATCGGCTAAATGATTATGCATGGTACCTGGTACAAAGGACCACAGCTGGCGCATCATCCACACACCGACTACCATCAGTTCCGATCGTATCCATCGTTCGTAGTGACGCCGTATCACGAGGGTCATGCGGCCACGCCCTGCCCACCAACGCCCTCAACGCCCTGCCACAGCAGCAGCAGCAGCAGCAGCAACCATGGACTCGGACTTGGTCTTGGACTTGGACTTGGTGTTGGAGTTGGACTTGGCCAGAGTGCAGCAGCCGAGCCGGCGCCAATAATTGTCGAGGGCACCTTTGCTGCGGCCGCCGCTGCCGCCGCAGCTGCAGCTGCCGCGCATCCCGTTGCAACAGCTGCAACAGCCGCCAGAGCTGCGCCCAGTCCGGCGATCAAGATCGAGCAGGTGTTCGGGGAGCAGACATCGGGGCACTCAACGCTGGTCGAGGACTACGCCCTGAGCCTCGACTGTCCCGTGGAGCATCAGTTTCGGGTGAGTTGCCACATGCCGCCGCAAGGGGCGTGCCCCAAATCAATTTCCATCAAATCATCCAATAACACTTAAAAGCCACAAAAAATGGGAGAGTCGCCAAAGGGCAGCGGCAAAAAACCGACAGCGAGTAAAAAACATGACAACAAACACGCCCCCAAAAACACGCACACATTCACACACACCCGCGCACTCTTAGAGCGAGAGCGAGCCGGCAAGCAATCGGGCGAGCGTGCGAATGAGACAGCAGCTGCTCGCTCTTAGCTTTGCTTGAAGAGCGTCGCACATGCATTGAGCGGGTTTTTTGCTCTCTTGAGCGTAAAGGCTTAAAGCTTGCGCTGGCTTTTTATGGGCGCAGGACATTTTTTGTGCGGCGCTGGTTCGCGCACAGGATATGCCATAATTAGGCAGCGAAAGTGTTGCACCCAAAAGCTTTCAGCAAAAAGCTCTGCAATTGAATTAACCAGCGCTCGAGCTGTTCGCAAAAGATAACGGTGCTGGCAACAGCAACAGGTGGCAGCTCACAAATATCCTTTATGGCACAGCGGCAAGCAACCTGTGGAGCCTTTGACGTTGACTGATGCAAGTCAGAGAGGGGCAGGTCAAGATTAACGGGAAAAGAGAGAGAGAGAGAGAGAGAGAGAGAGAGAGAGAGGGACAGTTTATCATGAAAGGAAATGAGTTTTAGTGTGACAGAGGAATATTTAAGGAAAGGAGGAGCTTATAATTATTTATTTAAATTTAAGTTTTAATTAATTTGAATTTTTAGTTAATTTAATTATTAACATAAAGGTTTACTTTTGTTGTGTTTTCATTCTTCAAGCAAGATTACAGCACCATCTAGCTCTTTTCTATTTTAACATATACAAAGAGCCATATACATATACCATGAACTATAATTACCTGCAGGGCGAAGGGAAGAGAAGGAAACAAAATATAATACTTATGGATGGGATAAGAGTTTTAATTGAATACATATTTTCCTATTTTTTTACGATTGAGGGATATTTGAGTAAACATAGATCATATTATTTATATTACATTTTATTTATATTTAAAAAAATAATTAGCTGGTTAATTATTTTTAGCATTTTGCGAATCATTTTGAGGGATGTTTAATTAAAGTAATATTTTAAATCATTATGGAAGTATATTATGTAGTAAGAAAATATATTCATAAATAAAATATGAAAACTAAAATATTAGTATATTATTTAATTATTGAAGTAAATGTCAATATTCGAAAACAATCTCATTGTAATTAAAAATGAAGATTAAAATGAAATTTAATTAATTAATGATAAATAAAAAATTAAATCGATCTGCAGCAATTAAAGAGGTTCGATTCGCGAAAATATGGATATTTAACATCTCTGATATCAATTCATAATTTCAAGCCTCCTCAACAATTTCGTCAATCTTAATATTTGTTTATTTATTAAATATAATAAATTAAAAACTACGCACTTTGCCCTGGGGTTTCTGATAATTTTATCATTTCTATATTGTTTATTTCTTCCTCATACTTTTTACTTTTTCTTCTGACTGCTCTACCTATTACTCTTCCGTTATTATAATATATTTTTTAAATATTTCTAATTTGACTCCCATTTATATATCCTTCTATTCCTATTACTACTCCTCTTTCGTCGCCTACTCGAATACTCCTCTTCCTAGTTGTATTTTTGTTCATTGCTAATCTTGCTTTCCCCTCTTCCTCTCTCTGTCTCTTTCTCTTTCTTCATATAATGATCTATAAGCTATCTCAGCACATCATTGATAAAGCTCATGGAGAGACAAATGTTATTTGCAGCATTTATTGCTTTGTTCACGCATAACGCTCGTCCCTTTATTTCAATTATCCTGCAACGATGCTGCGCTGCTCAAAGGCCACCTTCAGCTTTCGCTGCAGCAGCACATCCTTTGCCGTTAACAGCGAATGCACAAGCACGGCCATATAGATTGCAAGTGTATGTGTGTGTGCGTGTATGGCAAATATTCGCGCTGGCAACGAAATCCTGGCACATAAAAAAGCAACGCATACAAAAACATATGCTTCAGCTCCTCTTACAGGACACTTGTTTTCCCTTATTTTTATTTTATTCCTTCTTTTCTCAGCGCGCATTGCACTGACGCTGACGCTGACGCTGGCAGCGCTGCCGCCGCGCTGCAGTGCGAGCAATAGAAGTTTTCTTGTTCCGTTTGTTAAGTTGTTTTTAAGGCGCTTAAAAAAATAGAAATAAGAAGGAGTAGGGATGGGGGAGATGGGGGAGGAAAGTGTGCTAGGGATAACAGAAAACAATGTAGCTTTATCGAGCAATTATTGAGGATAATAACTGAACGCAGAGAACTATGTGATGAGATTAGGAAAATAAGGAAACATCCAAATATACTATATCTATATTACATCTATACATGTATAATGTATATGTACATAATAAACAAAATAAAGGCAAAGGAATTGATGCTCATGAAATGTTAACGGCCAAGCGTTGACAGCGCCGCCGACGCTGGCGCCGCTGCTTGCTTGAATGTTGAATGTTTTTATCCTTTCTTCGATGTGTCGTCGCTGCGCTGCCAGTGTGAGCGCACATATATATATTTGTGTATGTGTGTGTGTGTGTGTGGGGATATCACACGGTTTTCGCTTTTCTTTTACAACTTTTTGTTATTATTTCGTTTTTTGCTCCTTTCGCAATGTATTTTCTTTCAGTCGCTGCTTCATGTGAAGGCAAAAAAAAAAAAGAGAATACAATTTCACTTGAATTTTTTTTGTATGCTCCTGCTGGGTGTGTGTCCTGGGCCAGGACCTAGTTGCTGCCGCTGCCGTTGCTGCTGCGGCTGCTGCTGCTGCTGCTATTCCTTGAGTTTCCTCTTCGCGCGCGCCATTTTTGCTGCTGCTACTTACAACAAACATGGCTGCTGCCATAAGTCGTCCTGCTGCTGCTTCCGGCGCAGTCGACGCCGACTGCGGCGCTCACGATTGTTGCATGTGTCCGTGGCCTTTGGCGCGCTGCAGCTGTCGTTGTCTTCAGTTCGCTTGCGTTTGGCCAAATCTATTGGTCGACGGCGCGACGTGCGCGTACGCGTCGCGTGTTTCATTCACCACACCAACGCCAGGTGGCGCCACGCGACAGACGCACAAACAAGACGCAACACACCAGCAAATCAAACAACATAAACACACGAATAACCCAATTATAAGCATCATCAACAGCCACAAGTGCAGCACAGCCGCAGCTCCCCACGTTTCGTGGGAACATCAGCTCAGCTCCACCTGGCTGGCATATACCTGACATACCCCTAGCTGCAACATCAGCTGCATTGTATTTATGGCTGGTGTGAAGCATTTGTTGCTTGCTGAGATGATCAACACTCTTTTTGCTCAAAGCATATGCAAGTGTTGGAAAGTTGGTGAAGACAAAAGCTTTGGTGTATTACATTCAACTGATTTCTTTTATAGCGGCGGGATAGACTACTTAAAGTAGACTAAAAATTATTGTGTATAAGTGTTGTACAATGCTGAAAGAATAAACTATCTTAGATTTGCATAGGAAGTATCAGTGTTGCACCTGAATAAACTCTCTTAGAGTTGAGAAGAAAGTATCAGAGGCCACTTATTTGCAAAAGTTTTATATATTGTATAATATAATAGAAAAGGGTTCCATATAATGAAATACTGCATTAGAATAGTTCTTAACTAGATAATATATACATACATACTTATAGTTTTTATTGCTTACTTTCTTTTAATAATTGTTATTATTTTTAATTTTATAATTTTTTTTTTCATTGTTTATTCATTTTTTTTTATTTTTTTTGTATATTTTTTATTTCTTATAAATATACATATATGCATTTTTTTTTAAATTTATTTTAGTACAATACAAATTGCAACTTAAATTTTTTAGCTTTGTTGTTAAATTGTGTTTTGTTCAATTCTGTTTTATTTCTACTGTTGCTTTAATTTGTGCGCATATTTTGGTCAAGATAAATATGGCAGATACATTAATTAGCGCCGCGTAGACAATTTGCACACAATTGTGGGATAAATTATGTGGGATTAAGGCGATTTAGACGTGGAATGCACGGGCAGTGGGTTTATCGACTACTTAACATACGGCATGTAGTAGAGGTGCCTAGACCAATCAATATATAATGATTATGTCTGTCAAGGACTACAAATGTGTTAATCCTTTCGCTTAAAGTTTTTCCCCTGTTTTTCCTGCAAGTTTCAAACAAAGCTTAACTTTTGCCCTCTTGAAACTTGAATTTGTTCAGTGTTTCCTTGCATAGAGTATCCTGAACGCTTAACACCAGCTCGTCTTCAGCTGAAATAGTACTTACAAACTTTTCAACACACACTCACACACATGCACACACAGCCATAAAGTGCAATAGCAGCAGCAGCAGCAGCAGCAGCAGCAAAGAAAACATAATAAAAATCACAAACATGAGCAAACCGTATAAAAGAAAATCAATCTGCCGTGCTGTAACCCAAACCTTGCTCCAAATGCACAGCTTACTGGACTAGACCTGCTCGCTTCCAGTCCCAGTGCCGCCCACTCCGCCCCATTTGCTGCTCCCTCGCCTGCCCGCAGGACATCGCGCAAATTCAGCTATATATTTTTTTCTTGTACGTTTTCTTACAAGAAAATGCTGCAGTGCGCTGCAAATGTATGTCTTTATAACGGCAGCGTGCATAAAAAGAAGAAGCAAGGAGCAAAAATTATAAAATAAGAAAGAAAAAATATAAAAATGAAGCACAGAGAGCGAAAAAATAAATAACAACAACAACAACATGTCTGGCAGACGAAGGCAGCAGAGCAAAGCAAGGCAGCAGAGAAGGCAGCAGCAGCAAAAGAAAAAATACATTCACAACATACAAAACAGTTTTTACACACAAACACACACATGTGTGTGTGTGTGTGTGTGTGTGTGTATTTCTTTGTATACATATTTGACTGCTTCGCGCGCGTTCGCTATTTCTTTTTGCGGCTTCAGCTTCAGCTGCTGCAGTTTGAGTTTCTGTTGTTCAGTTGTTGCAAGCTATCCCACGCTCGCTGACTGCACGACAGAGACGGACGGGACTGAGACAAGGACTCGACACAAACACACACACACACACACGCACACGCACACAGAGGAAGAGAGATAACATTGACTACGTTTAGCAGCAGCTGCAACGCGGCGTATGTGTAATACGCACACAACTAAAGCCTCAACTTGCAGTCTGAAACAGAGCCCGCGCAATGGATTTATCTAAGATCTAACATCAGACATATATCACAGATATATGTATAATAGATTCGTGTATATTTTAAGTCTGTTTCGTTCCCTTGCAAGTGTCCCGAGCGGTGACGTATACGTGATGCGGCAAGAAATAACTCAAAGCGCGTGTCGAACGCGTGATTTTTTCTGGCTTTGCTAGCTCAACTGAGGCAGCAACAAAAGTTCCTAAAGAAAGTGCAAAAGTTTAAAAATAAAAGTGAAAAATTGCAACGTGAAGTTCCTAAGAGCCACAAAGTGCTTGATACAAAAAGAAAATAAATAAAAATATATAAAATCAAATATAATACAAATATTTCATAAAAAGAAGAGAAATTTATACAAATCAAATGTCCCATATATAATTAAAATTAAAAACAAATATATATATATTGTGAATATTACATATATAACAACTAAATAAATGATTTCAAGTATGTTTGTATACCAAAAAAAAAAAAAAAAAAAACTAAAAATTAAAATAAAATAAGTAATGAAATAAAAATTTTGGAAAAATATTACCAAGGCAAAAGACTTTTTAAAAAATCTTAATTTACTTTTTCATTCAAAAATTATTTTAGGTATTTCTATTTTATAATTTTTTTCCTATTCATATATATTATGTTAGAATGATTAATATATTATATTATATTTAACAATGTTTCTCAAATAAATATCTGTTAAATATATTTATTCAACTTTCTTTAATTCCTTTATTTACATTTTATAAATGCTTTTTTGAGAATGAATAAAGTTACATTTAAAATTAAATTAATATTGATATTATTTACACTAAAAACTCATTTATTTCGTAATTTTTAATATTAAATTTTTTTTTAATTTTAAAACTTAAATGTACTCCTTTTAATATTCATCTTGTTAATATTAATCGATGATGAGAAAGAAATACCTGACTAAATTTATTTTCATTTGAGTTCCTTTTTAATTTCTACTTTATAAATAATTTTTACAATATTTCTGTATATCCTATAAATTTTTTATAAAATTTTTAATTTATAGCTCAAATGTAATTTAAATGCAAACCAATTATGTAAAATTTTGTTTATATTACTAATAAATGGTAAATTATGTTAACACTTAAATTTTCTTATTTTAAATGGGATTTAAGGGATATTTGGTTAAATTTCTATTTAATTATTTATGTATTTTTGGTTTCAATTTATATTTAGTCAATGAAATTCTAGAGCTCTTTGCCTGTTGGCAATCTGTTGCTAGCTCTTCAAAAAAACGAGCAGCCAACTAATCTAAAGCACATTCAACTCAAACAGCGACAATCTGATAGAGATCACAACAAAATAATAGAGAGACCAACAAGGCAGCGTGCCGCCAAATGCAAAATCAACAACAACAAATCAACCAAAGCGACGACGAATAAATCAAACACAAAGCCTGCAACAAGCTGCAAGCTAAACAAAGATGTAAAAAAAAAAAAAATCGTGGAAGCGAAAAATGAAATAGAAAACTTGCTAAATAAAAATAGAAATATTTTTGCGCGCTGCCAACGTTTTCAAGGTCGTTCGAGATTTTTAGTTCTGTTTCTGTTGCTGCTTCTGTTTATATTTTTATTTGGACTTAAAAACAAAAAACTGCATCTAAAAATACAAAATAGAGTTTGAGGGGCAAAAGCGCGACTGCTACAAATAAAACATAGCAAAAAACATTTCAAAACTTTTTCCCGGCCATCAAATAAAAGTTTAGCAAAAGAAAAAACCAAACCACTCGACGCCTTCACAAAAGTTTTCGGTGTTTATTTTGGTTTGTATTTCTTTTTTGTTTATTTTTTATTTTTCGTGCCACTCGTTGTTTTTGTTGCTCGCCTGCGGCTCGTTCGCAGTTTTGTTTGCATGTGTAAATCGAACCGCACGAGTTAGACAATTTGCTGGGCCAAGAGCCCGCGCGAGAGTGAAAGTGTGCAAAATACCGTTCGTTGCCTACATTCGAGCGCCAGCATGCTCAAGGATCAGCTGAGACGCCGTCGCACCCAGGACTTGGGCAGCTACATGGACGCCCTTAGCGCTGGCACGGCTACGCCAGCGCCCTTCCTCATGCCCGCCGAGTTCTACACGAGTCTCCTTGCCAGCGCCGTGCTTCAGCAACAACAACAGCAGCAGCAGCAGCAGCAGCAGCAGAGCGAGCCGAATCGCTGGTACCCACAGACGCCCTCGCCCACGCCCACACCGCCCACCAAGCCAGCGCCTGCCGCCACTCCGCCCCCCGCCCACCTGTCGAGCAATTTGCTGTTCTCCGCCGTGTGCGTGGCCGCCGTCGAGTCGGCGAAGCGCAGCCACCTGAAGCCGCAGGAAGCGGCTGAAGCCAACGAAAAGCAGCAGATCCAAAGCAAAACTCACGATGCAGAGCTGGTCGAACATGTTAGTATACGACAGTTGTTCCTTAAAGAGGGAAATAAAATAAACAAAAATAAATATGTACATAAAAATATACAAACATATAAATATAAAAATTGCATTCGAAATATATAGAAATGAATTTAAATTGTAAATATGCTTTATCGGCCTTTGTTACCATGCAACTATTTTAATTTTTCTTGTACCTAAAATGTTGATAATTATTACAAATTAATTTTACAAACTACGATTTACAAATTAATTTTAGTGCCAAATTATATTTTACTTTGTTATTGTTAAAAAAGAAAACAAAATATAATAAGAAAAATAAAATATTCAGATTTTTGTTGTCTTTATTATATATTTATTTTGTCTTGGATTTTTAATTCATGATGATTATTTTATGAATTTTTGAATAGAATTAATTATGATTTTAAGTCGGTTTTCGGAACATATTTTTATATCAAACTCCGTCATGCCTTTACTCAACTTCGATTCTGTTGCTAGGCATATTAAAAGACAAAAAAATAAGCGCCTCCGCTGGATGCTTAACTTCTCACCATTCGTGCTGTCATAATTAGCTTTAAAATCCAATTAAAGTATTTCAGTCGTCGCCAAATTGTTTTCAACCTTTACCTCAGCACACAAAAGAATCCTAAGAAAAATATCAAATTTGGTTTGTTTGCTAACGCTAATTATGGGTCGCCCAAAAAAATACAACAAAATAAAAACTGGCTACTTCTCTCTCTCTCTCTCTCTCTCTCTCTCTCTCTCTCTTTCTGTCTCCGGCAACAACAACAACAATATGTAAATCATCAAAAAATCATTTAATATTTCATGCTCAATGCTTGGACAACAGCAAGCAACAACAAAAAATATATAAAATAATATGAGAAAAACCCTTTTCAACCAAAGCAAAACAACACGATTTGTTCTCCCTTGCAGAAACCCCAAAATAACAACAACAACAACGGCAACAACGGCAACGGCTACGCCTGGCCAACGGGCAACGAAGTCGTCAACAGCCACAACAACAATCAGCACAATTCACACGCAGCAAACGCTGCAGGACCTGGACAAGGACTCTCGCCAGCGACGCCGCCAACGCCGCCCGTGGACGCCAGCCAGGCCGGTTCCGCAATTAATTTGAATCCACCCGCAACACAGACGCAGACCCAGAGCCGTGCAAACTACGCCAATTCCGTAAAGTCGCCACCGGAAACAGGCAGCGCGCAGCCATCAACGGCTGCTGCCACCTGCAAAACTCACGACAACAACAACAGCAACAACAACAGCAACGCAACTGCTGCCGCTGTGGCAGCCGCTGCAGCCGCTGCCGCCGCTGTCAACATGCCGATCGGCGGCGTCCAGGGCCAGAATCCCACCCAGGGTCTGGTCCATTGGATGAGTGCCGTGATGGCCGAGCATATGACCGGACAGACGCATCACGATCCCAGCACTGCGGTCGGCATGCACTACATGTGGAATGGCAATGTCGATGTGAGTATCCTACACTTGCAGCACTCCATTAGGGGGCGTGGCAGTTGAGCACTATCTGACAGCAGCAGGAGAGAAACAGAAAAAGTTGTACATGAATAAACCGACTGCTCGATACTCTCTCACTGTCCAGAATTTAATATTGAATTTATGAAGGGGTTAAGGCTTAAGTTATGAATATGTATAGTTGATATACAAGTACATCTATCTAAAGCTTATAGTCTTTTATTTCGAAAATGAAAGTGGAATCGCTGAATATAAAAAAAAAAGTCCTAATATATTATAATCTATATTTATCGAATTTTCCCATCTTCACTTGTAAAAAAGTTATAGAGCTGGGTAATTTGTAAGTCTCGAAGGGACTTTTTATAGTAAATTTGTAAATATCCAGAATCGCTGCATAGCTTGGTTGGGTCTATTCAGGTTTAGGGAGCAGCAGCTATTCCGCAGCAACAATTCAGTAGGACTTATTATGGAATAGAGAGCAGGAAACAAACTTAGCAGACTTCTGCAGGAGGCTATAGTTGGGAATCAGACCGTGTGCTTGGAAACGAGTCAAAAATGGAAATCTCAGTGCAGCCCAGAAAATCTTCAGGCCAGACCTTCAAGGCTAAATAACCAAAATTAATAATATTTACTCCAACTCAGTGAAGGAGTTAATAAACTCTGCATTCTAGCACATTTACTCAATGCATAATCAGATCTGACACCAGTTTCCAAAATCTCTAGCGGAAAACTCATATACCCCTTATGCGTCTTGAACGAGTATCAAAAGAGAACAGAAAAAATAGAAACTTTTTTCGGGTTTTTTTTTTACCTTCCACCAATTTTCGGCGAACTTTGCGCAAAGTTTTCTGCAGTTGGCAGTTGCTGGAGTCACCGAGAAGGCGTTGGACTACATCGGTGCTCAGAGTGGGCGTCACGAGGGCGAGAAGTAGAGTAACAGGCGAAAAGGAAAGAAGCGCTTCATAATTAATAAGCGACTAAAAGTTGACGCTCTAAGTGAATTAAATGAGCGCAAGAGAGAGCGAGAGAGAGAGATGGAGTGTGAGAGCGACTGGATGTGATTGGGAAGGACGGTAATAGAGAAACTAGCTAATTGGCTAGGTGACTAATAACTAATAATCCCATTTCTAAAGTTAGCAGCTATATTTTAGAGAATACTATTATCATAATATATGTATATGTGTATGTATTTTTGAATATCCCTAGCTAATAGATATTTACAAAGGAGGTACATAAAAACTCATTCTTTCTTGGATATATTCAGTTTTAAAAGCAAGTTTTCAGGTAGCTCAGTTGCAAAGATCTAAATACAGTAGAATCCGGTTATAAGAAACACTCTATAGTTTGCTCATTAGCGTTAAAGCCAGATGTTACTGCAACAGCTTGCCCCTTTCTCACCCACAATTGGTATTTGGAAAGTACACAGTCTCTATTTAACATCTATCGAGCGATAGCTTTCCTTGAGTCATACTAATGCACTCTTTGCACAGTTGTTAGCCGCATCAGTTGCTGTGCGTAGGCTCGGTCAAAAGTGTGCGCCAAGTGCAAGGACCTTGACCAAGCAGCGAACCAGCTTCATGACAGCTCATTCCAGCGCTGCTGCGGCTCTGCTCAAAGGACTCCAACTCCTGTTTCAAAGCTGCTTGGGCGGCTGCTGTCCCACACTGCTGCACTTTCACTCGACTCGAACTTCAGTCGGCAACTGACCAAAACCCAAACCGTCTCTGTCTGCTGCCACATGAACGGAAACGAGACGCGAGTCCTGCCCCAGCTTCAGCTCCTCGCCCACTCCCCCCTTGTTTGGCTTCCCTCCCCATGACGATTCCAGTCTAAGTCCAGCTGCCTTCTCCTCTGCCCGGCACAAGCAGACGCGACGCTGAAATGCAAAAAAAAGAGTGTGTCCTTTGAGCAGCATCCTGCAATTTTTTGTTATCCCTTTTTTCCCCGCAACGCACATTTTTATTTTGCATTTTTTTCGCTCTTACTTTTTGTACCTTTTCTGCTGCTTCTTTCATGAATATCCTTGCTCTTGACTGCGCTTTGCTATCGCGTGCCACGCAGTAAAAAATTCTTGGAGTTTTTTCTATGCTCTCGTTTTGTTGTTGCATTTTTCGCGTGTTTTTATTTTATGCGTTTTTATTTTTTATTTTTCGCCCTATAAGATGTAAACAAGTTTTTCTTTGCGCGTTGAACTTTGTCGTTTTGTTGTTGTTGGTGTCTAGATTTGATTTTTTGCTTACTTTGATTTTCTTTTCATTTCATTTTTTACTCGAAATCGCTCTGCTTTGCAATGGCTCGCTTTTCACTTTTTCGTGATTGTTTTGAATGGAGATTGATTGTCTCCAAGGACAACGGCGGGTGAGAAAAAGTGTCTGGAAAAGGTTTTTGCCCCTCCTTCTCCTCCTCCTCCTCCGCTCCGCGGACGCTAACGAGTGCCTTGCCCTTGCAAAAGCAATTTCGACGCCTGCCGAATGATTTTTAAAGGATATCCGCAGTTAATTAATTTTTTAAAGTTCCACAATCAGCGCGCAGTCAACAATCAGCGAGTTCCCCCTGCTGTCACTGGCATTAGTGAAATTAGTTGTGAAACAGGAGCGACTCTCTCGCGAGCGTCCTATGCAAAGTTCTCTAATGAATTCGGAGCGCAATTGCACTTAATTTTCTTCACTTTAACTTGGCTTGAGAAATAGCCCAACTTGAAATTGCTTTCGAGCAGGTGCGTGCGCAATTCCTGACTAATTAACGCTTAACTCCGAATAGAAAGGCAACTGGCAAATTGCCTCTATCAAATTAAAGGCTTTATCTGGGGGAACAGCTGAAGAGATCTGAGGAATGCACTCAATTGTTATGTGGGGCATTAGTATGATATTTCTAATTAATTGTAATAGTAAAATAAACAAAATAAAGTATAATATTTGCCAAGACTAAAACTAAAACAATATTCTCGAAGTTTTCTAGACAAATTTTACATATTTTAGATTTGCTAAGTGCGAATCTTGACGTTGGGTAATGAAGTTGAGTCACTCTATTAAAATTTATAAACAAATTATAGATGGTTTCAATTTTAGCTTTTAAATCAAAGAATCTTGAGTTTTTGGTGAGACACTCTTCCCTTTAAACAAGAAACTCTTCCCTTTAAGCTTCACAAGAATGTAGGTTGGAAGTTTGATGTAAGTTGTATATATATTTTGGACTTCTTTAGGTAACTTATCTTAGGATATCCCTTAAGTGTGACTAACTAAAATAAACAACAATAAAATAAACAATATTTAGGTGCTCATATGTCTAATTGGATATTCTATAAATTCAAATTCTGGATATTAAATGTAGTGTTGCATATATTACCAAATACAGTCTGAGAAATAAAAAAATGCGGCATAGATGAAAAGAAATATTCTACACAAGTAAATTAATAAAATAGAAAATAAATTGCTTAATATATGAAAATAATTTCTTTTTATATTATTTTTAAAATTGTCAAGATTTGTAAATTAGAAAATGATAAAGAAAATATTTTATGATTATACAAATGATTCCATAAGGATATAACTAAATTAGATTTGCTTTTGGAATCCAGTGTGAAACAATATGAGTTAATAATCTGAAGCGATCATTAGAATTATAAAAATATTGAATAAAAGGGTAAATAAGAGTATGAGAAAGAACACAATCTTCTGCTTTAGACAAATCAGATTTGCCTGTCGGATTCACTGGGAAACAATGTGAGTCATTAGTTAAATTCGTTGCGAGCCTTACTTTAAGATTCCAATTAAAAAATCAGTGAGGCCGTCGGCTGGTCGGCCGACGGGCGACGGGCAACGGGCGACGGGAAGGAAACCCTAAACCACAGCACGCCTCACAACAAAGCATTGCAATTAATACTTATATACTTCAATTAGAAAAAAGTCAACGTGACGCTGAAGTGAAAAGCGAAAAGCAACAGAATGAAAAGAAAATGAGAAACGAGAAATGGAATGCGAGGGGAAAAAGTGAAAATTGAAAGGCTAAAGCGCAGCAGGGCTGGGGCATGCGGCGAAAACTGACTAACGGGGCCAGTCGAAACGATATTCCGTTGCGAGGGGGCGGGTTGCGGCTGAGCGGGGAGATGGCTGCCTGAAAAACCGCGAAAACCGCTACTAACTTCAATTTTTAAAGTAATTGCTATAAAGTTGAGCAAATTTGAGCAGCAGCCAGAACAACAATAGCCACGAAATTCTAACCTCAGGCGGGGCTTGTCCAACTGGTCAAACATTTGAGCACACACACACACACGCGCGAGTATATAGCTTTGCTAGTCTCTAAATGCGCGAAAAAAATCAATAGAAGCAGACAGCGCCGCAGCATGCATAAAGAGATGAAGCCCAAATAAGTTAAATAAAAAAAAAAGAAAACAACAAAAGCAACATAAAAAAATTAACAAAAAGAAAATGATCCCAAAATGTAAAGTGGAAGTCTGGAATGGCCAAAAGGTTGCTACAATGTGCACAACGCGCTTGGGCTTTTGGTCGAGCGCTGGGTAGGACAGGGGGCGGGGGCGGTTCGTTCGTTGGGGGCGGCAATTGCGAAAAAATTCACGTTTTCCGCCTAATTTTTTGTTGCCTCTTTGCCCGCTAGACAGCATGCTGGACATAGAAACTGCACCACCCAGTGGTCAAAGCGCAGTCGACGGCGGCGTCGGCGTCGACGCCACAGCGAAGGGGTTAAAAAAATTTTTTTGTTTTGATTTTTTTCCACTAGCAAATTTTTTCCCATTTTTTCTGCTTCCATTTTCTGCTTTTTTTTTTTTTTTTTTGCTGCCTTCTCTTCTGAATGTTTTGGTCAGTGCGCGTGTGGAAGTGAGAGGGCGAGCGTGCGCTTGGTAGAGAGAGATAGCGCTGCTGCTGCTGTTGCTGCTGCGCTGTACCAATATTCCATTTGATTTCCTACTTCTTCTTCTTCTTCATCTCTTTTTTTTTTGCCACTTTTCTTTGGGAAATTTTTTCGAAATTTCGTTTTGTTCCATTTCTGCTGCGTGGCGGCTGGACGGAAGCTGGCGTGGGCCAAGCGACGCCTTCATCATCAACTTGTTGTTGTTGTCGTTGGCTGGCTTGCTAGCGTGTTGGTTAGAGAGAGCTTCCGTTCGTGCCGCTGTCGCTGGCGCTGGCTCTGGGTCTGGGCCATCTTCATCAGCAGCTGCCAACGCAGCATCGCACGTTAGCTGTGCGTGTCTGTGTCTGTGTGTGTGTTGGTGTTGTGTGTTGGTGTGTGTGTGTGTGTGTGTGTGGGTAACTGTGTTTGCATTTTTTGTAGACATTTCTTCTACTTTTTCGTTTGTCCACCTACTAACTAGTCGTTGTTGCACGCACACACATACACATACACACTCCGCAGCTCGCTTTCCAACACTGTTGCCACAAAAAAATACAAAATAAAGCAACAAAAACTAACGTTGCGTGGTTTACACACACACCACAGTCACACTCCCACTCCCACACACACATACACACACACACACACACGTTGCTGCATTTCACACGCTGTGGCAACTCCCCCTGCGCTATGCAACACTTTTTACTCTACCCATTTTTTTAGTCTCTTTTTTTTTTGTTGTTTTGTTTTTAGCTCCACTGCAGCGAAAGCCGGCGCACTTTTGCCGTCGCTTTGACACCTTCGATAGTGTGTAACGCGGTTTTCTATTTCAATTGACACTCCCCTTGCTATGCAGCCACATAGACTACGTATCTATATATGTATATGTATATTTAGTATTTGTTGTTGTTGCTATTGTTGCATTTCGGACAAGTCAAAAGCTACGTGAGAACTAAAGCACTTTGAATTCCATAAACGTATTTAAAAATATTAAAAATCAAATTACCTACGGCTAAATGCGATAATAATTGTGAATGTATATTAAAAAAATTGAACTTTAATCAATTGATTGAATTGATTCTATTGAAATATGACCAAGGCACTAAGAAGTTTTTTTGTCATATGAGAAAGGAGATTTTTATTTTGAAATATATGTATTTATTAATTGAACTAAACTATTTTATAGAATACAGATACTTACTTAGACTATACTTTGCTTAACTTTGTAAATGATATTAAATATATTCAACAATTTTCCACTTTAGTTTTTGCGGTTGTATTCTCCGTGGTTATCTGCTCTATATGTTATACTAATTGATCTTCCTTTTGCTCTCTTTCTCACCCACTAATGTCGAGCAGCATGCCAAGGATATTAGCGATTACAATCTTTGGCCACCGACGCCGCGCAGCCACCAGCATGCCAGCGAACATCATCCGATGTCGCTGAAGCAGGAGTACGAGGTGAGTGTGGTGCAAGTGGTGCAAGCAAGTGCCGTTAAATGTCCATAGATTGTGTGGGCATTACACTCTATGCCACATACAAAACAAATAAAAATTCCAAAGCCAGCAACAACAAAAACAAAGCGGCAATAGCCATAGCAATAAAAAACTCTAACAAAAAACATTCCTAAAATTCGCGCGATGCCCCCTACCACGCCCCCCTCAGACTCGCTGCTCTGTGCAACACTGTATACAAATAACTCTATTTGTTTATTGCTGTTGTTTTGCCAGAGCTTTGCTTTACTTTTTCTAAACATATCGAAAATGTTTAGGCCAAAGCAGACGCGGATTTTATTTAGCGCGAGTTTCTCTTTTTACGGGGTTTCCCGATGCTCACAGATATATATATGTATATCATTTTATTTTGCCATGTCTGGCACGGCAATAGAAAAAGAAGGATAGACAGAGAGATAGCAGAGAGAGGGAGTGAGAGATACTGAGAGTATGAGACAGTCTCGAGGCTTTTAACCCATATTCACAATTTACATGCAATCGAAAGCAGAAGCCGCAGCTTACATATTTTTCACAATGTTTTTTGGCATTTTCTATTTTTATTTCTATTCTTATTTTTGCATTTTTTCAACATATTTTTTCCGCACTCTCGCTTAGAATTTGTATTCACGTTTTCACGCTATAAATTTATTTTTATCTTTTTGGAATTTCAATACGCATTCCATTTAGCATTTAGGGTTTGTCAGATATATGCATGTTGACTTATTTATTTATTTATGTATTTTGACATTGGCACAATCAAAACCATATTTTGGTGTTTACTTTATTTGATATGTTGTTCTATTCCGTTTAGCCTGGTATTTACTTTTCCTGACAGTTGCTCGCGATTGAGTTTTCATGCGATTAGCTATGAAATATGTAATTAACATTTGATATTGCAAATCAAAATTGTATTTAATAGTATGAAAAATCCGCTTAATATCCATAATGAAAACTTCATTAAAGCATAATAAATATTTGTTTGTATTATTAATTTTTTTTTTTGTATTTATTATTTATTTATTTATTTATTGTTATCAAGAATTAATTCTAAATAACAATTTGTTAAGCCAGAGCAACAAAAGCCTTCAGGCATTTTTTTTTTTTTTTTTTTTTTTTTTTTTTTTTTTTTTTTGTATTTATGGATTGTTAATTGTTATTATTAGGCATTTATTTCGAATTGTTTATATGTATTAAATAAAAATATTATTTTAGATGCTTTGAAAACAAAGGGATCATCATTTTATGTTTTATGTGAGATAGTTCAGACTCCCGATGCTTCGAGGCATATTTTGGCAATATGTTTTTAAAATGCCTGTCAATTAATTTCAGTCAAACGTTCTCTTTAAAAAGTTTATACTTATGGTAATTTATATGTTTATACGTTTTTCTTAAGTCGTCCCTTCTAAGAGGCTTTTCAGTATGCAGTATATATGAAACTCATAGCTCGCCAAAAACTTCTAGCTTATCAAATAATAATGAAGACCTCTTGATCAGGGAGTAAGAAGGGATTCAGAGAGATATACGATTGATATTCGCACAACTAGAGTTCTGTATCATAACGAACGACGAATAAATTCATAGTATATGTTATAAATAGTCCAAATATAATATACTAATAAATTCATTTAAATTAATAATCTATTTAGTTTATTACATTTTATTAATATTTCTAGAATACAAAAAATTGTCATAAATAAACTAACAAAAATATATAATAAGCATTCATATCAAAGCATTATATTAATATGTATATTTAGTTATCATCAACTATGTTCTTAGTTCACTTAAGAAACAATATAAATAGCTGCCCTATATTTCATCTACCTCAAGTATATCCACATTTGATATCTGATCAATAATTGATTAACTAACGTTGCTTTGCAGGCCAAAATGAACGATCACCACCATCACAATAATCTGCAAAAAGGTGAGTACGGACAGCGGACTAAACTGAATCGAACTGTCGCTTCCCTCTGCCCCACTTCGTCTACTTGCAATGACCTGCCCCAAAACGTGGAATACCTGACCCAGGCGAACAAGTTTTCCAGTTGGCTGGGCTCCTTAGCCTCCTGCGCTTAATTAATTGCTCACAAAAACAACAAACGATAATCACGAATCTCGAGCAGATATGCCAAGGCAGGATGATGGGAAGACAGGGGGGGAGGAGAAAGAGCTCGCGCGAGTTGAGATTGCAATCGGCAACGAAAAATGCATACGTTGCATATAAAAGTTAAATTGCAACACGCGTGCGGCATGCTGTTGGCCAAGACAAAGGCTCCATTCAGCTAAGGACAGACACCGAACAGATACTCCCACGAAAGATTGACCTTTAACTGAGGGAATCGCAGGCGCAGCAACAGCAGCAGCAGCAGGAGGCAGAGCAGTAGCAACAATTGCTTACAACATGTTTACATAAATTCCTAAAATGCAAACAACATCTCTCTGTGCAACAGCAACAACGGCGGCAACATTGACAGCAACACGCTCCAAAAAGGGTTTGCGGTAAACGGGTCCGATATCGGGCTAGTAGCTCCGTTGGCGGCAATGATCTCGACCCGATAATGTCAACGCTAGGCAATTGGCCAATAACATTGTTGTTGTTGTTGCTGTTGTTGTTGATGTTGCTGCTGCTGCTGCTGCTGCTGCAACTGCGATAAGCATCGCAGCAACATCGCGGCCAACAATGTAGATGTAGATGTATCTATGCGATGCATTGGCTTTTACCTGTGCGCCTGCCTGTTGGCTTTTACCTGTACAAATTAACAATACGAACGACTTCAACTATGCTGGCCATGACTCACAGACTGGGCCAAGACGAGGCCTGGCTGCCGCAAACATGTTGTAGCCCATATTGCTACACTCAAAGAAATATATGTATATATATATATATAGAGAGAGAAATAAAATATAGTATATTAATTATTATGAATTTTTATGAAATGTTCTAAATATCCTAAATATATTTAAATGGAATTTATGAAAAATATTCCGAGATAAAGAAATCAATATTTTCTCTTAAAAAAAAAAAAAAATATTTTAAAACCGATTCTAAAAAAATTATTGACATAAATATTTAAAAAATAAAAAAAATAAAACATAAATTAAAAAAAAATATCAAAAAATAATAATAATCATAATAATAATTTTTGAAAAATTATTAGTATATCATTTATAAACATTTTATTTATGAAAAAAAAAAAAGAAAATATTGCTTTTAGTATTGATTACACTTGAAGCCTAGACTAGAAGACGAGGAATAATTTCATTTAAATAAATAAAATATAAAAAATATACAAAATACAATAATTAGGCACTCGCTTTATATTCCATCGCATTGATCTGTTCATTTTTCTGTGCTCGCGATGTCCGATTAATTTCTTCGAGTGTATCGTGCTGGTAAGGCTGCTTGTGGTCCATCGTTCATTCAGTTTGGACAGTTTTGCCAGGCTGGCGCCATTCGCCCGCCCGTAATTAACACTAAAAATGTTGAACAACTTGAGTAGGCCTTGCTGCAATTCGGGGCCAGCGATTGTCTGCAAATGTTCTATTAGAAAAGCTTTTGACATGCCAGCAGGGCGCCCTCGGCTGCACCGCTAATCCACGCCAGCGAGTGGCCCCAGTCCTCGTCGATTCCAGCTCATCAACGAATTCACACAATTTTTGCACGCAAATGCACTGGGCACTCAATTATGGATGGATAGAAAGGTAGATAGATGGATGGCTGGATGGCTCGCTGACTAGAAGCGAGGCATCAAAAGACTATTTGAAAAAAAAAAAAAAAGAAAAAAATGTGAAACTATTTTCACATAAACTGTAACTCAACTCGAGCGCGATTTCCCAGTGGCAATCAGAGCGGCCAAGTTTAATTAGAGGAGCTGCCTAGTGGCAAAGGGGCAAGCAGCCCGATGGCAGGAGGCAGGAGGCAGGGGCCAGGGGGCAGCTGGCAGGTGGCAGTTGGCAGCTTGGCGGCAAGCTGACGTGAGTGAACGTCGGCAACTTCAACGGACGGAACGCGCGGCATGACTTGTAGTCAACTTGACTCGACTCAACTCGACTCAGCGCGACTCGACTCCATTCGATTCGACTGACAGCCGTGGCCACATTAGATGGCGCCACGGCTGACACAATTCAACAGCCACTGAAGCAAACAACTCAATTGCAGGTCACTTTCTGGATGACAATCGTCTGGAGCACCATGCGGCGGTCGCCGGCCAAGGTAAGTCTTACGATCCCAAGTCTAAGTTTTTCCCTTTTAAGGTCCAGCAACACTTGTCAACAAGATTTCTAATGGATTTTTTTATTCTCCCTCCTCTCGTTTTGATGTTTGCTATTTTTTACGCAACATAAATTTGAAACGTGAGAGAAGACTGAATAACTTGACATAGGTCTTGGCATGGGCACGGAGAATGCCTCTTAGAAAGAGATAGGGAGAGAAAGGGAGAGAGAGACAAAGAGCGGGAGGGATCTCCATAGAGCTTAGAATGAAAGTATAAGCAGTTATTAAATATTATGTCGTATTGCAGCTTAAAGTAAATGTATTAATAGTGCAATATTATAGGGGCTGGTGGGGCAGAATATTTATTATTAATATTTTATAATATAATTAGGAGTTAGCTCTTGTAGGAACTTGTTTGAATCGCGTAGAGGGCTGTAGTCAAATCTCTTTTATTAATTTTTGTTTATTTAATTAATTTTTTTTTTTTTTTTTTTTTGTATCTTGCTATATTTTGAGTGTCTTCATTTACATTTAGAAGAGGTTATTTTATATTTTATAAAATATATTTAAAAAATATAGTCTTAGGATATACTTATACTAAGACTATACTTTATAAGTACTACAAATAAATAAAGCCGATCAATTTTAGACAAATGCAAAAGCTAGACAAATGAATTTTTTGCTTTTCTATTTTATTAATATATAAATTACAAAAATATGAAACTATTATTATTATTACAATTATCAATGGATTGCTTGTATTTCATTAATTAATATTTTATTAAGTGGAAGTTTAGAGAAAAGTAAATATATATATAAGTAAACTTATAGCTCAACAGAAAAAGATTGCAAGAGTTTATTTCTGGCTGTAGGCTAAATAATTTCAGTATTAATAATATTGATTGGTCAAGTTTTACTGATTACTGATTACGAAAAATTGCTGATATTGAGATAAATATATACTTATAGTGGTTCACAGCTTATTTCAACCAGCACCTCATAAAAAGTTTGCTAGCCTATAGAATCCAAACTGTTGGAGGATATCAAAAAAAAAATTAAAGCACAGATTGTTAGTGTAATGTTTTAACTAATAAAAAAAATAATTTAAAAACTAAAAAATGAGATTATATTAAATAAAAAATTTATGAAATTTAATTTTTTTTTTTCAAATTTAATTTTGTGTTTCTTTTATCAAATAATAAATATTTGAATTTTTCCACCTTACTTTTTTAATTCAATGCCATAATATAGATAAAGGACCAAAAATATAAATCTATTAATTCTGCTTTCTGCATAGTAGGATACCGAATGGGGCAAAGTGATTATCACATTAAGCAAATTAAACTAAATTTTAATTTTACTTAGGCTTTGACAACGTTTATTTAATGCTCATGTTCTATATTTATTTTTTAATTGGGCCCATTATGCAAGATAAAAGAATTGCATTTATTTATCAAATTTCATATCAGACTCTCTTTTCTTCAGTACTGTCTAATATTAATTTATATAGTATTGAATAATATTAATGATTTATATTGATTTATTCGATTCGATTTCTCTTCCACAGGCAGCCTGGGACTTGGCAGCGCCGTCAACGGCTCCGGCTCCGGGCCGGGTGGAGGCAACTCCAGCCTGGCCGGCGGTTCGCATCACGGCAATCACGTTTCGGCGGCCGCTGCAGCCGCGGCGCACCATCACAACAATGCGGTGGCAGCTGCCTCGGCGGCGGCGCTGCTCGTCGTCCCGCAGCCCATCAATGCCAGCAAAATGGGCGGGCCGGGCGTGGGCGTGGGCGCTGGCGGTGGCCACGCACCGGCCGGAGGCAGTGGACGCAAGTATCAATGCAAAATGTGCCCGCAGGTAGGTGGCAGCCGCTTTCATTGTACGCCGTCTGATATTTGCATTGCACTTACCGGTTAAGTTGAGGCTTAAACGTATTTTGGCCGTCGGCCTGGCCCAGAGAAGTGTTGACAACGAGTCGACGGCCAGCGAGGCGACGCGACGGCTTTTGTTTACAATTTTCCACTTGATTTGCCTGGCCCAGAAAAGTTTCGAATTTCAGCTGGTTCTCTGGGCCCGCATCGTATGGCCTGTCTTCTTCGATCCGCCTCCCTCGTCCCCCGCTCGCCCTTGTCATGTCAAGCGCGTTTTTTTCCCACATCTCATTCGGCTCGAGCATCAGCCAACACACTTGACCGAAACTGGACAGAAATCGGCATTAATGACACTCAACAGATGCTGCTCATAAAATGTCAATTATGCATCGACCTGCAAGTGTGTGGCCCTCTGCGTGAGTGTGTGTGTTCGGCAGTGTGTTAATTGCAGCTAATTGAGCTTATTGTTTTTAACGGTTTCACTTGTTTTTTGTTCTCTTTGGTTTTTTGATTCTCCGCTGACCTGCGGCAGGTGGCATTGCCAGATTTATGCTGCGTATGTCGAGTGAATGATATGCGTGGGATAATGCAAAGATTGGGACAGCAGGTTGAGCTGAAAGTCGTAATATTCCTTGACATTGAGAGGCACTCATGAGACGGTGATGATATTTAGCTATAAAAAGTGAGATTTAACTGGTTTGCGATTTGTAGGAATTGCGTAAGCAAAACACAGCAAAGATTTGCTGGATAAGAAAAGCTGAAAACTTATGTGAAACACGAATTTATATACACTTGGATTGAATTTAAAGTTTAAAGTATAGGAGAGATCCTATATTTAACCGGAGTCTGCCATCAGATATTACTCTACTCACCTATAAAACTGGCAAAAAATTGAAGGCTGCTTTAGCTCATATACAGATGCGCATGTGTATATGTGTGCTTGCGTGTGCCTGTGTGAGTGTGTTAACGAAGATCGAACAAATGAAAGTAAATTGAACAACAAAAATCACAAAAAAACCCCCAAAAAAAAAAAAAAAACAAAATTTGTGGAAAATTGTTGCTGTTTTTCGTGTTGTTGGGAGCAGCCGCAGCAGCAGCAATAACGAAATTTTGTTGTCCATTGGACGAATGATATGTCGGCCAGATATGCCACACCCAGAACGCCCACAAATTGTGGTGCGGAGCTAACAGCTAACAGCAGCGTGCGCTGATGAGCGAGACTCTGTGTGTGTGTGGGTGTGTGTGTATGTGTGTGTGGGTGGGCGACTGATGATGTTGATGACGCTGCTGAAAAGCCAGCAACAATAGCAACAACAACAACAACAACAGCAGCAGCAGCAGCTACGGCCGGGCTGAAGAGGTGTTCATTTGTGCGAGGCGAAGTGAAATAGCAGCATGCCTAAAAGTATGCTGCAAATTTTTTTGCAGCTGCCGCTGCGTGCGAGTGAATTCACAGTTGCTGTGCGCGAGTGTGTGTGTGTGTCAACTTTATGTTTCTTTTTTTGCAGCTTACACACATATGCATTTATGAGTATGAGTTGGTGTGCTTACGTGTGTGTTTGTGTGCGTGCGTGTGTAAGCTGCACTACTGGAAATTAGTGCGTTTCTACGCTCAAAAGCGTCTGCTGGTCTGCTGCTACGTTTTTAATTACCCACACTTGGCATTTTTTTTCAGTGCTGTTTTGGCAGTCTCCTTGTTGTGCTCGCCGCTGTTGTTGTTGTTGCCAATGCAGCTAAAGCTTCAATTGGAATTACTTCACTTGGCACTCGCATCTGCGTTGTAGCAGCAGCAGCAGCAGCAACTACTTTTTTTAGTCTTCTTTAATGCCTTTGACTGGCCACACATCTACGTATCCATACAGCACACAGCATGCACATGTCCATGCGCATTTGTGTGAGTGCTACTCTCTCTCTGTGTATGTGTGTGTGAGTGCTGCAGCCAGCCTATCATGTTAGTGTGCGCTGGCCTGCATTCTCACTTCCCTTCTTCTACTTTTTTTTTTTTTTTTTTTTTGGCTATGCAAGGGGGGGGGAAAATTTTTTTTTTGCATTTTTTTGTTGGTCGAAAAATGATGTGTGAGCGTATGGGCAGGTGGTAGACGTTAAAGCTTTATGATCTTCATTTGCTGCCCCGAGAAATCGATGTAGCAATCGAAACTGAATGTGGGCTGACTGAAATTTCTTACTGATTCTCCTTATTATTTTTTAATAATCACAATTGCTAACTATATATATATTATTGAAAATTTTTGAAAAACTCTTAATTACGTCCATTTAGCCAAAATAAAATATGGGAGACAGCGCTTCCATAAATTAAAAAAAAAAAAAAAAAAGAATAAAGAATCAACTGGAATGCGCTCGAAAATGGTCTCTGCGTCCATGCGACTGAATCAAGTATGTGTGTGTGTGTGTGTGTAACGGTGGGTGTATGTATGCTGAGCATTAAATTGTCGCTGCCTTTTCGGCGCCAGCTCCCCAGCCAACACGCGTAATGCCCCTTTATAATTTTGCACAGCAATTTTTTAGTTACATTTATCGTGTTTTTTTTTAACGCATTTCCCTTTTTTTTTTTTGGTTTTTGCATTCACTCAACTCACTCAGCTGCCCAGCCAGCTTTGTGTGTGCACTAACACAATTACACACGCACAGCCAAGTCGCCGAGGCACTGGACATGCCCCGAAAGGGGGCGTATAGGCTGCTCAAATAGCTCACACTATCAATTAGTAAAATTACATGCGAAAAACGAGCGCAAAATGTTTTGCCACGTTAGGCAAGTAAAAACACAAAAACCAAAAAAAGAAAACAAAAGTAAAACGAAAAAAGAAAATCTAAAAAAAAGTTTAGCGCACTCTCGTTCTGCATACACAAGCACACACACACACACACATACACACACGCATGTGCACTTGTTGTCGGTAATTCCCCTCATTTAATTAACAATAAAAATAGGCTAAAAAGTCTAAAAAAGTAAAAACTGCAAGCGATTATGCATACATGCCACACAGACACACATAGCCACCGCACATGCACACGCACACACACTCACACACTCACACACGCACACGCACGTACATTGCGCGCGTGCCATTTGTTAAACAATTTTAACGCGCGCCCCCAAGTAGGCAACGCTTTTTTGCCAAGCAGCGCGGCCCCCACACACACACACACACGCACGCACACGGCTGGCCGGTATTAAAATTTTATCCGATATAATGCATGAATTATGTAAACTATTTTTATATTTATTTTTATTGTTGTCGTTGATTTTTGTTATTTTTTGTTTGTGTTTTTGTTTTTTATTTTCTTTTTGCAATTTTTCTGAAACGCGTATTGGTGGCCCCAGCGCGCTGCCATTGCCCCTACATGTGCGTGTGTGTGCGTACGTACGAGTGTGTGTGCGTGTTTGTGTTGGTCAGCGGCCTTTAGCATTAGCATTTGGTTAATGTTAACGCGTGTCGCCCTCTATCGACCGAAACAAGCATGCCTCACATGCATTTTTAGTGCGGTTAGCAACTGTACATACACACACACACACACGCACACACATACCAGAATTTTAATCTGTGGCAGCTGTCCTGCTTGCTCAGCTATTCTCATCTCGCTCCTTCGCACTCTTGCAGCTTGAAACTTGTTTATTTTTAATTTTATTATGTGCACATTATTTTGCCAATGCATTGATGTGTGTATGTGTGTGTGTGTGTGTCTATTTATGCACTCGTCCGTTGCATTCAAGTGTTTTGTTTTGTTTTGCTTGTATTTTGCATATTGCATGAAATCATGCGCATTTTTTCCCAGTTCCTACGAAAATGGTTTTTAAAACGTCAACTAGTTAGCTCTGTGTGCGTGTGTGTGTGTGTGTGTATGGTTTTTTTTTTTTAGAACTTTTGCTTATTAATTTTTTATTATTGTATTAACGCTTGGGGCAACTTATTTATTTATATACAAATTTATTCAGTTGATGTTTTCCTTGCTGCTTCAAATAACATCAATAATCAACATGCCGCAAATATGTTCCAGCGAATTATTAATTTTATAAAATTTTTTTTACGATGCCTCTCAGAGTTTTATCAATTTCAGTTTAAAGCTTTTAAAGCCTGACAAAAGTTATAAGAGCCTTAAATATGTTATAAATCGAAATTACTTTTCAAAAATTTAATTAAACATGGATTAACTGCAATAAAATATTTAATTTTTAAATGTAAGCACATTATTTTTATTGAAACAGTTTATGAATGGCATATTTATTCCTTATAAAAATATATATATCTATATGTTTATATATAAGTTTGCTGCTTTTTTTTTGGCATCCATTTCATGGTCTGGATATCGACTCTTAACAGCTCATTTAATAGTTCTATTTTTCCTTGCTCAAGAACTGAACTCATTTTATGATTTCTTCTGTTTATAAAGTTCTCTTTTCAATAGAATTTGAAGTTTTACAAACGTAAACTCTTTCAGTTCATGTTGTTTATCTACCAAAATCGTAAAATAGAAGTAACTTGAAAACGGAACTTAATTTTCAAATTGAAACAATTATTTAAAGTAACAGCAAAATTATGTTATGACATCGATTCTCAATTGTAAACTATATTAAATCTTTAAATGTTTCATTAAAAAAGTTACGTTAATTGCTGTAAAATTTATTCAAAAAAAAAAAAAATGATTTTTTGTAGGATCTAATAATATTTTGCTGGATATCATCTCGAAGATAAATTACCAAGCTCAATGCTAAGTGAACTCAGCAAATCATCCAAGATCTATATTTTCCATTGCTCAAAAAAAGAAATCAACTTAAGAGATTTTCTTAAGTCTAATATTTATGAACTTCTCTAATTGCGACTCTCAAAATCAGCCTGAATAGGGTTTTAAATATTGTGAACAAAGTTTTTCATATTTTGCTGAATGGCATGAATTCAAGGACAGAGTGAATAATATTTTTAAGAACCATATTTCTTTTAGAGCTGTGAACAAGTGTTTACTATCCCCAAACATATCTTGTTAACTGATGTTTTCACTATTTCACACATCTCAGCGGTCAACTATGCCTGTTAGAAACAGCTGTGATATTGGTGTGTGTGTGTGTCTGTGTGTGTTATTTGCCTTAGTGCTCGAATTACAACTAACCAAAACAAGCTAACAATATATCGGGGCTAGTCTATGCTATGAATTAGTCAGCTATGAACAAACTTGAATTGACCTGGACTCAGTCAGCGAGATTAACCTGTGAAAGGGCAGCAATCAGATATGGAAACAAATGGGAGTAAGCTCATATTGATACAAACCTACCATGGATCGGAAGTAGGTCTTCACAGACTGCCAGTGGGCGCTGGAGGAATGGTAGTTCTCACGCTTCCACTCGTCATCGTCCAGCGAGCTGGCTGGCAGCGGCGGCTCCACCGCGAGGAACTGCGCCCAGAAGCCGGCCGACTGCAGCAGCAGGACACGCAGCACCTGCTGCCACAGGACAATGTTGCTCAGATTCAAGTCGACGTCGTCGAAGAGCGTGGGCGCGAACACGACGGCTATGTTGTTGATGGACATCTTCACGGCCGGACTCTCGGCGATGCGCTGCCAGTGGAGCATGAGGTAGGCCAGGGTGTCGCGATGTGCCTGCGGCAGGTCCACCATGGCCAGATAGAGCTGCTCCTCGACAGCCAGCGGGTCGCTGAGCTGCGTGGCGAGCACAAAGTCCGGCCTGTGGTACATGGGTATCAGGGGTCGCTCCAGCGAGCGCAGGAAGTCCTTCACGCAGCAGCAGAGTGTGTGCGTGTCCTTGTCGCCCAGGTGCGGCGTCGCCTTGCCGCGCAGCAGCTTGTGCCGCAAGCGCTTGACCTTGTCCCTGGTGGAGGAGACGCGATAGAGCCCCTCCTGCTCCAGGCCGCGCGCCTCGATCTCCGTCACACAGTGCACGATCAGCGCCGGCACCATGGGCGCCACGTGCGGCACATAGTCGCTCAGATGGCCCCGCTTCGTGCTGGCCAACGGCTGGGGAATGCAGTTGACCGTCAGCTGACTGGAGCACTCCGTGTGGCAGCGCAGCGGACAGTCGCGGCACCTCAGGCTAGGCACACCAAAGCGAATGCTGCAAGCGGAGCGACTCATGTGAGTGTCGTGCGAGTGCCACGTGAATATACTCACCGCTTGTTGCACTGCACGCAGTTGCCCACGTTCGAGTAGTAGGCCCTCAGCTTGAAGTTGTGCTGGCGCAGCAGCAGGAGCGGCGACTGCGGGTGAGCCGCGGGGTAGATGGGCGTGTAGCAGTCATCCCGCTGCAGGGACATGTCGTCGCTGCCATTGGGATTCATGTGGATGCGCAGGCGGTCGTCCAGCAGCGAGTCTATCGACTGCTCATCGTACATGCGAAACTGCCTGCTCAGATCATTGAACGAGCTGTACTCGCGCCTCAGACGGTCCTTGGCCTGCATTGCGGCGTGTTGTGGCAGCGACTAGGTTCCAACTTCAAATGCCGCACACGCCAAGCGCTGGTCGTCTGTTCTGCTCGGTTATCGCAACTTCTGATACTCAAGCACACACTCATAGACGTATGTGTGTGTGTGTGGATATATAACTGTGTGCGCTGAGCAAATCAGCTGTCACTCCTCATTGAGTCAGCTGCCTGGCCAATGTATTTCCAGCAAAATTTTGCTTCGCAGAATGTTTGCTTTTCCTCTTCGTTCTACTCCGACTCGCACTCACGCTATATAGTTAGTGAGCTAATAATTCCGAATAGAAGAAAGACTTTGCCGGACTGCTCGAAAACAGATAATATTTGTATTATTTTATTTTCTGAACGTCGAACACAGCTGAGGTTGCTTTGTTATTTGATAGCTTCTTGATTGCAATTGCTTTGCCGAGCTAATACGATATATATCGCATGACCAGCGGCAACTATCAGATGTTTTGGATATAATATTATTTATTTTATTTATCAATTACCTGTACATCATTTAGTGGCCTAACAATGGATGGGTAATTTATTTAGAGTGAGCCTCCATAACTCAGTTTACGGACTTTACATGGAGGCAGTCGTACAGACGATTTGGTTGCTTAAAGCTCATGCAGAGACTCATTTTCATGCGAACAGACTGAGGGGTCTCGGCAATCTTTCGCTGCATCTGCATGAATGCCTTCCACTGTGCTCTTCTGCATGCAGTTGGAGCTCTTTATGGAGTGTGGAATTGCGAACGTACCAAGACTGGGTACGATATTGATTGAGTAGGATTGATTGGGTTCGGCAGCAATCTCATAAACCATATGGGCAGAATACAATGCACGCATACAATTCTTTTCCACATCAGGTGGTGATACTTTTTTCTCGTAGCATTGGCAACTGGCTCAAAAGTAAGACGATTGCACGAAGTACTTAACTTGTACCTCTGTTGATGTTGAAGCATATTTTCATAAAGCGAACTAAAGATTTTATGAAACTTACATTAGAAATTCTTTGACAACTTTTTGAGATATATAAATATGCCTATACTTTCATTGAAGTCGTCTCGGAGATCAAACGAATGCAATTGAGGAGGATTCTACTCAGTCTTTTGTTCTTTGGAACCACCAAATGTTCATTTTCTTTATATTACGCTATCATTTTTTCTTTGCGAAAAGGTGACTGAAAACTAGTTTAAACTATTGCATATAGAATTCTATATAGAAAGATATACAAAATAGAACTCAATAATGAACAATTTATATCAATAGCTTTAATAAAAATCAAACCAAAAATCATTTTTAAATGAAAATATTTTATTACTATGAAGAATGGAGGGACATTTCCTAATACAGTCCACATCATTTTGAAATATATTGTATTACTATAAAGAGTATAAGAACAACATTTCCTAATATTTCCAAATGGAATCCAAATAAGTTCCACCTTCCGCTTCAGTCATTCAAAGTCAGATGTGAAATCCTTTCAAAAACAAAAACAAAAGCAAACATCACTTTAAATATTTGCGCGAGACTCGGGAGAATTCAATGTCACGCCGCCGAGATTGGTGTAAAAAATCTGATGGGAAAACAATTTGTGAAAGTATCAATGAATTCTAAGCGCGATGAAAATGGCTCAATGGCCGCGCTAAATGGATGAAAAATTCATGGAAAAACGCTTTGCGGCCGACAAACAAAATACGTCCAAAAAAAACTGACAAAAAGCGAAAAAAAAAAAAAAAATCAAAAACTAAACACTAAAAAAATTGCCATCAAAAGCGAAAATGTTAGAGGCCGAGGCAAAAAAATGGAAATAGAAATAAAAATATAGAATATTTTTTTGTTTTTGATTTTTGAGTTTGGCGTCTGACAAATGTGCCGCACTCTGTATACTTGTTGGCGCAGCGCTTTGCCGTCAATTTTTGAACGAACGAATAGACGTGAGTGGTGCGGGGACTGAGGGGTTGGGTTGGGTGCGAATGAGGCACAGCAACGGGCGAAATTAACGAACGAGGCGGCCAAAAGGCGAATGAATTTGATTTTTATATTTTTGTTGCCGTTTTTTAGGCGTCAGCTGCAGCAGCGCAGTCAACGCACTGTGTGTGAGTGTGAGTGCGTGTGTGTGTGTGTGTGTGTTTGATTGGATGGGCTGTCTACTCTTCTGTGTGTGTGTGTGTGTGTGTGTGTGATGGGCGTCGCATTGAATTCGTAGTTATTAATGCGTATTGAAATGCACATATGCATACACACACACACACACACACATCGACAGAGTTATGTGTGTGTGTGTTTGTGTGCTTTGTTTGTATTCAAAGTCCACAAACGCCAGTCACGCATTGGAATAAGCCCATGCAAGTAACCATAGCAAATGTGCGGGCTTTGGCCCCAAAAGCCGACACACCGACGCTCACACCCCCTCACTCCTCAACCCGAATGTTTGTATGTGTGTGTGTGTGTGCTTTCTACTGTCCACTGTGCTCCAACACAACACAACAAAACAACTAAAAAAAATCTCTGTGACACGCAAAAAAAGAAAGCAAGCCAAAGCAAAATGCAAAACAACGTAGAAGCGCACACACATACACACGCGCACACACACACACACACACATAAAACACAACCATACACGCTGAGAAGAAAAAAAGAAATAGGAGATATTACATCGAAATCCACTGACAGTGTTGCCACATGGTGTTAATTAATTTTTCACACACGAAAATGTTGCCACAGCTTTTTCTAAAAGTGAAAACGTTTTTTCTTTTGCATAGATATGCGAAAATGTTGCAAAAGATGTTTGATGATATGTAGGTATATATGCAGCTGTGGGATCTGGGAATGGAAAAAATTGGTTAGCTCTTTAAGTTTATATTTATTTATATTTTTTTTAAATGTTTCATACACTCGCATATATCCATATACATTATACTATGGTTCTTTTCATATATACAAATGTACATATATCCTACTCGATTGGATGGCATATCAACCAACCGTAAACTTATTCATAAAGTAAAAGGTAGAGTTGTATGCTATTCGAAAAGTATGTAATTTAACAAAATAAAGAAAATACATACATACGGAATTAATGGATGTTTTAGAAAAACTCTAAGAATCAAAGAGCACTTTTGATCAACACATGTAAAATTTATTTAGAAGAAGATGTCTGCTATATCTTTATTTTTTGTTTTTAATTATTTTTTATGCTAATTATATTTTTTTTTATATTTATTTTATTAAGATCAGCTGTTGTCGTCAAAACGAAACTGTAAGCCATCCAATAAATATTCAGCTAGGTTTACAAGTGTAAGAGGTTTATTGGGATCGAAAGCAAATAAGGATTTTATTAATATGAGATTTTATTTGTATTTATTTTATTTTTATTTATTTATTATTATTATTATTATTTTTATTATAATAATATATATATATTTTTTTATTTTATTTTTTTTTTATTTTATTTTATTTATTTTTTTATTTTATTTATTTTTTTTTTTTTTTTTGACCAATCGACCGCATTGCGCGTTTCAGATTTAATTTTAATTAATGATGGGGCCTGTAAACGCAAAGATAATTGTCAGATCTAGACTAAATTATTTCTGATTCTATCCTACAATACTTCTAGTTCTGTAAATTCCTGCGCTGATTCCTTTTCGTCCTCGCAAGCTGTTATTAATAGCCCGATTTTGATTCGAGCTGCCATAAATACGCACCCTGACTATTCGTGTATTTGAGGCTGAGTCTTTATTACAAACTTGATTACAAACTGAAATCCATTTTTATATACCCAAAGCTCTGCAACAGTAGTCCATCTAAATTGCCTAACCCAATTCTATATCACTAAGAACAGTCATTAGTAATATATATACCCTTTTCAATGGCAACTCTACGGATTTTTTTTTTTTTGGCGTGAAGTTCAATTGAAATGAAACTAAAAAGCAAAATCTAAAAACAAATCCAAACACAAAATACCAAACACAATCGCAAATGCAACAAAAACAACAACAGCAACTAGCCGCAGGAGGGGCAACGGCAATGCAAACGCAAAGGCAAAACGGAACAGCAAAAAATGCCGTTTTTGAGCGGGTCAGAAGTGCGGCGTGCGAGCGAGACGGCACGAGCCAATGGAAAAAATTGTTTCCTGTGACAAGGCGGCCACGAAAAAAAATGCCGAAGGGGAGGCTGCGTGGAAAAAATGCACAGCAAATGGAAATGGAAGAAGTGCAGAAACGAAAAGATAGAAAAAAATACGAGCGGGGCGAGCAGAGCAGCTGAAGCGTATGGAGTAGAAGTCGAGGCAAGGTTGCAGCAGCAGCAGCAGCAGCATCCACAGCCGCAGTCGCAGCCACAGCAGCAGCAGCAGCAGCTGGGAGAAGAAAAAAAAAACAACTTAGGAATAGCAGCGACGAGCAGCAGACAAACGACGGCTGCAGCGCAGCGGAAGGAGTTCGCTTTGTGTGTGTGTGAGTGAGTGAGAGGGCGATTGTGGAGTGGGGAGTGCGAAGAGTGAGCGGTGGAGACTGCTGGCAGTTAAGCCACGCGGTGGCTTAGGTCAGGACAGAGGCTGACTGAGGTGTGCGCTGCGTGGCTCTGTGTGGGCATGAGTGTGTGCGTGTATGAGTGTGTGTGTGTGTGAAACATTTTTTTCAGTTGCGCTACGCTTTCGAGCTGCTAGACTGATAGAGTGCTCCGGCGCCTGACAACACTGCGCTTCATATTGCAGTGTGACCAGCGCTGGCTGCTAGCTGCGGCGGCGGCGTCGGAGTAAAAAAACTATTGCCTACTTTTATGCGCTGTCAAATATTCTATTATACAAATAGCGCGTGACAATAACAATAATTGCAATTATAATAGCAATTATTTGCAGCGTAATTAGTTAATTTATTGCACACTTGTCCCCCTCCCCCCACTGTCTCCACTTCGCTAGACCGCCAAAAACCAAAACCAAAACCAAAATGCAAAGTCAAATTGCAAACGACATGAAAAATAAAATGATAAAAAACAAACGGCATCAAAGTCGAACAAAACAAAATGATGGAAAAAATGCCATGGTCTGGGCTCGAGTGCACGGGGCGGCAAGTGTGGGGCAGTGGGCGGGGGGGTTGACTAAGGGGCGGCCGGCAAATTTGGGGGCGGTAAAGGCTAACACGAAGCTGCCAGCGAAAAAATTCCGTGCGTTTGTATGTCTATGCGAGTGTGTGTGTGTGTGTGTGTGTGTATGTGTCTGTGTGCGTGGGCAAAACTTCCCCTTTTTTAAATTTTTTACTCATACACAAACATACATACACACAATACTTCCACTTTTTTTTTTATTTTGCGCGTTTTTTAGAGCCC